CAGGAGCAGTGTTGGACCCAAGGCTCCAGAGCAGACTCTCCAGAGCAGATTGACAGAGGGCTGGCAGAGCAGTGACGGGTCTGACTGCTGCCCCGTACAGAGGAGAGATCCCATCCAAGTACAGACAGCAAGTTGAGCCGGCGTCCTAACCAGAACCCAATAGTCATTTACTGAGCACCTACTACGTGCCAGGCTCTGCGCTGGGCAGTGGACGTTCCAGAAGAAGAAAACAGAGACAACTGAGTGGAATAAATAAAGATATGAAATGAAGCAAGATAGGTGACTTCAGATTTAAAGGGATCCCAAGGGCTAAGGAAGAGAAATAAAAAAAGGATCAAACAAAATCTCAAGCCTCAGCACGTAGTGGTGAAATTTCAGAACTTTAAAAAGAAAAGAAAAGAAAAGAAAAAAAAAGAAAAGAAAGCTAAAAGTAGATTCTCACTGCAAGACTGGAGATAAGAAGGTGGTGGAGTAGCGCCGTCAAGATCTATGAGAAAAAGGTGTTGAACTTGGGACCTGATCTGTGTTCTACCAGTCAAGCTCGAAGACAAGATAAAGTCCGTTTTGGACACGTGAAGACTCAGAGTTTACTTCCCTCCCATCAATATAAAAATAACTAGAGGTGGTATTCCAGCAAAACAAAGAAGTCGGAGGAAGAAGACAACAGAAAACAAGATAGAGCAGCAGCCCAATGGGAGGGAATGAGGGGTGGCTGTCAACGTGGGGGCCCGGGAGATTCCAGGCAGCAGTCAAGTGGTGATGACAGGATTCCATTCCCTTTTCTGTGGTCAAATCACACGATGTAGTTCTGTGGCTGAATAACATTTCCACCTTATAATCAACCTAGAGTCAGAATGCGAGGTAACCACGGTTATTTAACAGGATGTGAATCTTCTAAATCTTAACATAAAGGTAGCACACAGACGATTATACTAAATAGTATAACACTGTGTACTATGTAATATATATGCATTGTATTATATATAACACTATAGACTAAAAATAAATAATATCAAACATAGTGTGATCAAACTAATACAAATTGGAAGGAGAAGAACGCGTGCTCATCTCCCCAGCTTCCACAGGGGGGAGTTCATAAATAAACACATACATTAAGAAAGAGAGACTGAGGGACTTCCCTGGCGGTCCAGTGGTTAAGACTCTGTGCTTCCACTGCACAGGGCGAGGGTTCGATCCCTGGACGGGGAACTAAGATCCCATGTGCCGTGTAGAGCAGCCAAAAAAATTAATAAATAAAATAAAATACCTTAAAGAAAAAGAAGGACTGACGCATATTATAGGACATAATAAGCGGCCACAAAATCAGCTAAATCAGAAACTGCTCGTCAGGGGTTAACTTTGGCTGGTGAACCTAGTGGGTAGAGGTGTGGGAAAGAAGGGAGGCTTTTTAGAATACCATGCAGCAGTCAAAAATAATGGAGTAGGTCTATTTATTTTGACCTGGAAAACTCTCCATTATATAGCCTAGGTTAACAAAGCAAGTCTTTAGAACAGTATTGAAAACATAATATTTATCTGTGTTCAACTAAACACCCAAACCAATAAGATGCAGTCCCTGTCCTCAAGGAACCCCTGTCTGCAGCCCCTCTCTGTGTCCTCTGCCCTACACCAAGCAGCCCGCTTCTGGATTGTCTCCCTCGCTCAGATTATTGCAAGATGCAGATCTCTTTCTGTCCTAGGGAAGAGCTGTTTTCTGTATGTTTCAAGTCACGAATGCATGTTCTTGACTGCAAGTCATCAGTCCAAAGACTGGCCTGGATGAAGCTGCCCAGGAGAGGAAACTTTCACACACAAGTAACCAGTGGGGGGAAAGCCAAGTGGGGAAGGAAAATCTGAAAATTACAGATGCCGAGGCTAAAAGGCACCTCACAGAGCTCTGGTCCACCTCCCTCACTCACAGATAAACATACGTGGGGCCTGATGGAAGGTCGCTCCTTTGAATTAGCGCCCAGAAGAGGAAGAGCTGGGCTTGCTACGAGCCAGAGGCAGGAAGGGAGCCTGTGAGATGCTGGAATGGAGGCCTGATGCCAGGGCCCCACAGAGAAGCCCACCGAGAGGTGGCAGGTGTGTGTAGGGCTGGGGTCCACTTCAGGAGCTGCTCAGGGAGCAGATGGCTTGGACTGGATCATCCTTCCTTAGTGTCCATGGAAGCTGGGAAGAAGCAGCTTCACTGTGGGCAGGAGGGAGCACACTGGGGAGGGGCTGGGAGCGGAGCTGAGGTTTTCTGAGCGTCCACCAGGTGCCAGACTCACGTGAGGTGCCATCCGGCAGTTACAGCCTTTCACCCTCACACAAGCCCTGTGAGGTAAACGTGATTATCCCAGTTACATCAAGACAGTGACGGTTAGAAAACTTAAGTCATGTAACTTGCCCCAAATCCCACAGCCAGCAAATGGCAGAGCTAGAATCTGAGTCTGGGCTGGTCTGTTCCAAAGTCCCTGCTCAAGGAATCAGAGGGCATTGATAAATATATGGTAACCAATCGATGAGAGAAGTGTCTTTCCCAAACCGGGATACAGCTAACCCTTTTTCCTTCCAGAATACTGCGTATGGACTCAGCCCCTCTACCCAATCCAAGAATATCCAAGCACATCTGCTGGCTCTGGGGGACTAGGGTTTACTGGCCCATCAGGACCCTGAAAATGCCCACCTCGGAGGGGAACAGGATCGGGGCTCGACTTCTCCCAGCTCTGAGCCCTGACGTTGCCTCCGAAGACACAGAGCCTGCTGTGTCGGGCGTGGAGGGAGGTGGGCTGGGATGGACCACGAGCACAGTGGGGAGGAGAGAAGCCGGAAGCCTGGATCCTTGGTCTCTGGTGCTCAGCTCTGTCCCTGCTCTCCGCCAACCCCAAGGGCACCCTCATCGCTCTCGCTCCCCCTCAGATGCTGTCCCTACTCCCCCCACATCTCCCTAGGCACCTCCACCCCCATTGAGCATTGACTTCAGGGGGGAGGCAGGCAGGCCCAGGAGAGTATGTATGTCAGTTAGGGGTTGTCGTTGACACGTGGAGATCATTAACGAGGCTTATTTTTAAATTGTAATTGCAAAATGTAAATGCTCCCCAAACTGATGTGTAATTGCTACCCACTCCACCCCAGCCTTTCCCCTCTTGTGCCAGCTTTGCAAGGAGAGAATTAGAAAATAAAAAGGGGGTGGATTATGTAAGCAAAATGATTTTAAAAAAAGAGAGCGAGAGAGCTAAGAATTTAAGTGAGACAGCTGGCGGCTCCCTGATTGCCACACTTCCAGCTTAGCTGCAAAAATTGTGCTTGTCAATTGTACCCACCCAAGCAACAGTGTCAACTGTACTGAGTCCCCAGAACAGACCAGACTGGCACTCCCTTGGCAAGATGGTTCAGTGGTCTGTGTGTGTGTATGTGTGTGTGTGTGTGTGTGTGTGTGTGTGTGTGTTGGGGAGTGAGGGGGAAGATCAGGGTGATGTTTGAGGTTGCCTCCAACTCATCCATAGAAGTCTTCCATTCTATGGAAAGACACAACCCACAGCAGGACCTAGCAGTCCGTCAACCCACGTCCATCCTTCCCCAGATTCTACGTATTCTCCTCCACGTAGGGAGAGCCGGCGGAACCTCCATTCTCCCAGGCATCTAGACTCCCGCATCTGCAGCATCAACCTGGAGAGAAACAGGACTCTGCCTATTGAACTACCTCTGGAATAGGTACTTCGGCAGGAGGAAGCTCTTGCCAGGCCCAGAGAAATAACTGGACTTGGGCAACAACACCCGTCCACGCTGGTTCACCAGGAATCTCTAACCCTTAACCTCCTTTTTCTCTTTTACCGTCCGCCCCATCTCCGCCAAGCCCTCACCACAGCCACTGTCTGCAGTGAATTCCTTTCCACGTCACTGTGTGCACAGGCTCTGAAGATTGTTGAAAAGACTGTCCCCCAAGTGGGCATCACTCAACCCACACTTGGGGGGAAGCCCTGACCCCTGGGATATGCCCTCTTCTCTGGTTTTCACCTCTAGGAGCCCCAGCATGCTCCCCACCCCCTAACACACCTAAAACAGAGCTCCCCAAACAGCCAGAGGGCACAGGAAGCAGATGGCCAGGTCTGGCCAGATCTGCCACTGTCAGACAGGCGGTCCTCTTCAATATCCATGGCTTTTCTAACTACCTGCCTCTCTCCCTCTCCTTCTCTCGAGAGAAACCAGCTTTTGTGAGGAATTTGGCAATGATTACTGCCCCCCCAAAACGAAGACCGGAGAGCTAGAAGATCATGGTGGCCCTAAGACATCAGGGAAACTTACAAAACCCCGGGCAGGGTCCTTTGGAGTTGGGGCCCCATCTCACCATAACAGATCCAGCCCTTATCATGGTATACTGGAGAGAAAAAAGGCTTGTTTTTGGATAACTGGATTTCTAATCCCTGCCTGTACTGATACTTAGGTCTGTGAGATCATGAAGTTACTTAAGGGGATTTAAAAAACCCTATCTGATAAGAGGATTAAGTGAGATTCTCTATTCAAAATGCTTTATATGCTCTAAGGAACTACTTCTCATAGTTCATCACACTTGGGATACAGTTTCCTCCGTGTTCATGAAAAACACTCGGGGTACAGATTCTCGGTCTAAACCTGGACTCAAAAATCAGGATCTCTGGTGTGAGGTCCAGGAACTGAATTTTTCACAAACACCCCCTGGTGATAACACTTGCTCCAGAGGGTTGTACAAGTGTTACCGTCGTCGTCGTACACGCAAGCAGCAGCCCATCCATCTGTAGCGCCAACAGTTTATCGTTCATGGAATACGTAGAAGAAAAGAGAGGTATACAGGGACGAGGCACAGCCCTCGCCCCATCCTCCAGGAACCGAGCAGAAACAATACACTGCTGTGGTTTCTGAGGTCGTGTGTGTGCTGTCAGCTAATGCTACGGGCTGGTTCTCGAGGTCTTCGGAAGAAAAGATCATCCGCCTGGAGGGTTTAACTTTGTGTGAAAGGACGGAGAAAAGTTTCTTACTGTTCGGGCGATCCCGGTGGCCTCTGGGAGGGCCCTCAGGAGACTCACTCCCCTCTTCTCACTTCCAGCTGGGCCAGCAATTCTTCCTTGTTGGCTGGAGCCAGTGCACCTGGGAGAAAGGGCAGAGCAGCGCTCAGGAGGGGAGGCTCGAGGCGCAGGGAGCGAGGGGACGCACTCTGTGCCCCGCTTCTCCCAGGCTGGCGGTAAAGGATACTCCTTGTGCTCTACAGAACTCCTACCACACCCCTCTCCTCACTGGCTGCTCAGACCCACCGGAGCTGTGTTAGAGCCCAACCCTTGTCCCGGCGGGAAGTGCCCTGTGGTCGCCGTCTGGTCTCCTGGCACCAGGCACACAGGCAGCTCCCTCTCCTGCAAGGGCGGGCAGGTCCCTGAGTGATCCTGGGTCCCGGGAAGCCACAGCTGGCTTCTTGCTTTAAAGTGTGGGGAACTCAGAGAGAGGGCAGCTGTTGCCACCTCCTCAGGTGTGTGGATGAGTTTCAGATGCTTTCCCAGGGGTGGGGGAGGCTTCGGCTGGGAGTCCGGACGCTGATGGGGTGCGGGGAAGGAGGAACAGTCAGGAGGGTGGTGGACCCAAAGCCGTGAAAAACAGCCTTGGCCTAAAGGGGGCTTCAGCTGCATGACTTAACTATTTACTTTTAGATTAAAGGGGATTAATTTTGTTTCTCAATATTTGAAATGGACCAAGGTAACCAGAAGTGAGGTTGGTGGTCAGCGCAGATATAAGGCCTGGCCTGACACTTCCCAAACATGTCAATTTCTCCTTCTGGATTGAGTTGCTAATTTGACTCCAATGAGGCTGTGCTTGGGGCCAGGATGACGGGGTCGTGGGATGGGGGTGGAGGGGGGCTGCTGATACCTGGGTTGCGTTTTCAGGGCTGCCTCAGGGAGCACCTCCAGCCCAGAGCCCCAGCCCTACAACCAGAGGTAAATGCATCTTCAACATTCACAGTTCCTTCCTAGTTAACACCATCTTTGTCTCCCTGTAAAAACAACTCGCACCTCAGTAAAGAATGTAATTAGTGACATGGCAACAGGAGGAGCTAAACAGTGGCCAGGCTGGGAGCTGCAGTGGGAAATGGAAATTCAGACATTTGCTTGAACAAGACTTTCCCGCTTCCCAGGCGCACACACCTGCACTGCTAGGAGGCGAAGGTGACAGAGACACAGCATCCAGGATCCTGAGGGGTGTACATGAATTCCTGGCCGCAGGGCAGAGGAAGTGGGGGAGCCCGGAGATGGGATGAGCTGAGAGGGGCTCCAAGAGCAGGCAGGGCAGTTCATGAATTTCCATGAACAAAATCTCTCTAGGTTGAAACAAAACCCCCTTCGCCACCCTGGGCCCAGGTTCCTCCCAAGAGGAGATGACGGATATGAGACACATTCAAAGCGGCAGGAGTCTCAGGCCCCCCTGGCCACTGCCCGGAGAGGATGCTCTGAGCACAAGGTACTCCCGCAACAGCCTGTTCCTTCTCCACTGGCCTTGCCTGTGGCTTCTGTGAGTGCCTCCCAGTACTCTGCCCGCCCCAGGCAGCAAACCTGGGGGACGAGTCCGCTTCCTCCCTCCCCGAGCCCACCTCACTCCCTCCCCCATCACTTCCCCACTTCCCACGCTTTCCAGTCCAGTCCAGGCGGAAGGTGGTCTTCCGCCTTTCCGCTCCCTGGGACACACCTAGAGAGGGCCCTCATCCCTGGCGACGCCAGCCAAGCCACCCCAGCTTGTTAGCCACCCCCGGACTGAGCTTCCCAGTCACCTGGCTTCACCCTGCATCCACCCAGGGCCTCCTTCGTGCCAGACAGTGCCCGGGATGGGTGCATGGCTGTGTCACCCCCTACTGCAGAATTTTCAGGGACTCCCTCCTTACAGGCACCTACGGGTGTTCAGTCTGACCTGGCACTGCCCTAACTGCCTTCAGGGCACAGCTTCTACCCTTTACCCATAGGCTCTCTTCCCTCCATCCAAACGCAACCCCAGACCGGCCCCATAACCTCCCACTCCTCTCACTGCCACAATTCTACATTTCTACCAGGCAAGACCCTCACCATTCTTCAGTGTTCATGAACATTCTGGCTTTTGCCTCTACAGCCAGATGTAATTTTTACCTCCTCTGTGTTTCCAAGTAGCACGCTGTCTGTCATCCTGTGAAAGCTCTCGCCACGTCCTGTCTCATGCTATGGTTATCTTACACATCTCTCGTCTCTTTCCAAACTGGAGGCTCCTCTTGGGCAGAGCCCCTGTCTTCTATCTGCATCATTTTTTAGTTTACAAAGTACTTTCATACGTAATATCTTCTTTAACTCTTAAAACAATCTTTAGAGGGCGATATTTCAATATAATAACTTAATTTTTATTACCTTTACAAAATAATATACGCTTATTGCACAAAATAAAGAAGAGGGAGAAATTTTTTTTTTTTTTTTTTGGCCATGTGGTGTGGCTTGCTGGATCTTAGTTCCCTGATGAGGGATTGAACCCGGGCCCCGGCAGTGAAAGCACCGAGTCCTAACCACTGGACCGCCAGGGAATTCCCAGAAATTTTCAAGTTAGTTGTGATCCTACCATACAAAGACAACCACAGATAATATGCAGAGTAAAACTCTTCTTTCTTCAAAACAGTATCATTCTGTTTGCTCCGGAAGCAGCCTTTTATATTTAGCAACATACCATAAATACCTTTGCATATAAGGGAAATATACACTATAATCTTAGTGACTATGTGGCATTCCATTTACGGATGTACTACAGTTACAAATGTCTATTATTTGTTGTTTAGATTATTTCCAGTTTTTGCTGTTATAAACAAATAATGCCCATTCTTGTAGCTGAACTTTGCTCCAGACTTGATCATTGTTTTAGGATAAGTTTCTAGATGTGGCGTTGCCAAATCCAAAGGTCTATCATTTTAAAGAATTTTAACCAAGTACTTGCAGAAGGTCACACCGTTTTACGTCGCATCTGCAGTTTATGAGAGATGGCTTTTTCCCTGCCAGGTAGTTGACCCCATTTTATCGAGGTTGATAACAAGGCTTAGGAAAGTCAAGCACCGGGCTTGCCTAAGAAAACAGCCAGCGAGCAGCATGTCTTCTGACTCCAGACATTTCGTTCTTCCAACCTCCCCACTTCTCTTTGCTCTTATATTTCTTACAATCCAAAGGGAGAGGCTGCAGTATAAGTGCTAAGTAAATGCTGGGCTTCCCGAAGGATGAGGCAGAGGTGATGTGCCCTCAGTTGTGGGGTGGGCCACTCCTGGGGCCTCTGCCGAGCCTCATGTCCCAGGTGTCTGAGACTTATTTTGGCAGATGACAGCTCTGTTCTTGGGTAGCTTTTTACTATTCCCTCCTCCCTTCTTCTGGGCAGATGCAAATTGCTTCAATTTAGACTCCATGTATTAAGAACCTACCATGTGCTGGGGCCTGGGCATGCAAAGATGAAAAACACACACACACACAAGCTCTCCCTGCCTTTGAGGTGCTCACGGTCTAATGATAGGGACATAACTGTACCCTGTCACGTGTGACAATGCTGCTTCTGCTTGTTGGCCCTACCACCCCTCCTCTGCCAAAGCCCACGGTGCCAGGGGTGGGGGACCTGCTGTGTCCTGCAGCCCCTCCTTCTACCTGTGTCCTTTCTCGAGCTGAGGGGGCCTTAGCTCCCTCCCCATGACCTGCTGCAGTGCCTGCTGTTCTGTCTGTCTTTCTGCTCCAGCTGTGCCTCTGCCCCCTACCCTCACCCTTAGACGGCACTGAGGAGTGCAGCCCCTCAGAGGGAAATCACACCCGTTTAGGGGAGAGAAGCCGACCCCACCCCCACCCCCACCCTCAGAGAACAATAAATACGCAGTTAAGAGAGGAAGGATGGTCCCGGCAATGCCAGAGTGCCCTGTGCAGGGCACCGCTTCAGGACTGCAATCTGCATACATTTCCCCTTTCCCAGAACTGACAACTGCCTGGTTCCCACCAGCCTGGAGAAAGCTCCAAGGCAGAAATATAGCCTGTAATCTCTTTCTGTCACGGCCAGCTATTCCTCTGAGCATAACGAAGGCAACTCACAGGACAGAAGGCCCTGGGGAGAATGAAAGACAGTCTGGGCTGGGGGACAAGGAGACTGCCCACGGTCACGGCCACCTTCCCCCACGCTCGCCCACCTTGCCCCGAGGAGGGTCCTGAGTGTGCCTTTTTAGATCTTGCCAGAGAAAACCCAGCCCCCTCTGTTCTGTGGCCATACAGAGGCTGGCAGGCAGCCTGTGACACGGCTGCCCTAATCTTGAGGCTGGGCTGGGGCTCAATTAACAAGCAGCTGCACGGGCAGGGAGGTAGACAGAGAGACAGGGAGAGAGATGGATGGGAAGACATGGGCCCTGTGTGACCGATGGCCCAGATGCCTCAGGGACAAAGGAGGAAGCAGGACCTTCATCTTGAAGATAAAGTCCCTCTGTCCCCACAAGATCCCCAAGAAATGGAATGTTCTCACCTCTGCTCTTTAGCTCTGATCAGGCCCTTCCCTGCCTCCTCAAGGTCATTTTACTGGGGCACCCTCTGACCTCTGACGGGTGGGCAGGCTTCCCTAGAGAACACCTCTGCCTGTTTAGCCAACCTGACTTAACACTTTGCAGATGAATCGGACAGCACTGAGGAATGAGCCTCTGAAATCTCTGGCCAGAGGCCCAAACCAAAGGCCTTCCCCCTGTCCACTTTGGGGGAGTTGTCCCACCCTGGTATCCATCCCAGGAGCAAAAAACACCAAAGTCTTTGTCCTCATTGGCCACAGAGCCTTGAAAGAGTTCATCCTCACTCTGGAGACCCTCCCAGGCCCTATTCTTGCATAAGTGCAGCCATGGATGTGTGGTTTGCCTCCCAGGACCCTCAGGCATTTCCCCAAGGATAGAGTCTCTTCCCACCTCCCTGCTGGGGTGGCTGGTTCCAGCTCTGCCACAGGTTTGCTCTGTGATGTTGCACAAAACCCTTCACCTCTGAATTCTGGTCCATTGCCATCATCACCAATCTTCGTCATTGCTGTCTGTAAAGCAAGAGGCCGGACCTGACAATGTGACCCTGTTCTCTGACTGTTCTTGATCAGCTAATTGAACTCAA